CTGCAATCATTGCCCCATTTTTTTGGGGGGGGGGGGAGTTTCTACAGACGGTTCTAGCAATGCAAAGAGAACCAGAATAGTCACTACTGCATTTCCATGATTAATTCAGTTCAACTGCTAAGTAACAAGAAAAAATCTGATGCTCATCAATATCCTTAGACTGGCTTATTAACTAAAGGCCCTAATCCTCAAAAGACAGGCACTCGTCTTCCATTCAAGGCAATAAGATGGAAGTGCCCAGATCTCTTTTGAGAGATCTGTGCCTGAGTAACTACTTCTCATCAGATGAAACAGGTGGCAGTTTATCCTGTACCCACAGCAAAGTCAATCCATTAGACAGAATCAGAAGCCTTTTGATGCTCTCAGATCTGTATTTCAGTAGCACGTTCGTGATCACGGGCTACAAAAGGGTCTGAGCCTTGCCATGAATTCAGGCAGTTTGTCAGGAGCCTGCAATATCAAGCCACTAACAAGATGCTAGTAGGATTGTGAGCTTCAGGGTTTTTAGAGGTGCATCAGCAATTCAGCTAGAGGGGAAGAACTTGGATCTGGCTCCTGGGAACCTTTCCACCTTGCCTAATGGTCCGTCACACACTTCCCTCTTGTTTGGGGCTATGCTGGCAGCCCAAACAAGTCTTCCAAGTCGGACTACTCAACTGAAGGGATTAACAGTAAATCAAAGCCAAGGGAAGAACAGCAGTTCCTAGCTCCTAGAACTGAAGTATTTCCCAAAGTTTGCCATTCCTAGTGAAGTTACAGTAGAAAGTTGTATCGCATCACTAACTCCACTACCGGTTCCCAAATAAATATACGTAGCAAGGCTAAAAGCAAGCATCAGCTCTGACAGAAGAAACTCACTTGTCTCCTGTTCTGAGCTCTTGCCAGCCTGAGTCTTCGAGCAGAATAGAAAATGAAGTAGCCCACTGTCGCTGCTGTGACAATGAAAAATGACACAGAGACAAAGAAGATGGAATAGTGGCTCATCCAGGGTCCTTGTTTCTTCCCCACTTCAATAACCATAGATACTTGTAGGCCACTCTCAATCCGGCGTAAAATTTCTGTGCCTTTCAGATTCCCAATCATGATTGCAACAATGTCTCCTGCCCCTGCAAAGGAAAAAAAGAGGGGGGGAATTAATTTTCCATTTCAATCACAAAACTACATGTGGAGATAGTAATGGTATCAAGGGCATCAGCTCTGATACACAAGAGCCAAAATGGGAGATTCTCCAACTGGCCTTTTCATACCCGTGCTTAGCTAGCAGATGTGTAGTGATACATTCAAATCTCATCTTCACACCTTTGTTTAGCTGGAATGCATGTTCTTGTTACGAGCAAAACTGAGTAAACGAGCCGGGTCCAGTATGCAGTCATGGCATAAGTCTCGCGTTCCAGGGAACATTTCCCAGGCAGTACTAAATGTAATACTTGAACGTTTACTTTTCAATTCACTTTGGAACTACATCCACAGGGAATACTTATAATCCAGTGAATTCTACGTACAGATTTGAAAGACTCAAACCCATCTCTCTCTATTGGCTAAAGGGCTCTTCTAGCCTGAAGACGGCATGTCAAAAGAATTCATTTAAATGCTTGTCTCTGTTCTGCTTTCACGCAGTGGAGCAACTTTTATTCAAAGTAATCCATGGCACTGAAGATCTGCTTTGCTTCTGGATGTCAACAGGAGGACCAGCATGGAACATGCTCCTGTACCCAGTTCTCTGAGATATAACTGCTGTTGTGGGTTTGCCTCAATGACAGCCTCACTGGGTGAGTTCAATATGCACCTGAACTCCAAGGGCTGCAGACTCACCTGGAATCTCAAAGTCAAAATTGAACTTCCTTCTTAGACCATCACAAGTAATCCCATCAGCCAGGGGATATTTCTAATGTGATGGTACTAGAGGACTCAATATATCAGGCTGCTAAGCACCAGCCACGAGAAAGCAAGCAGCAGGCAGGGCAGCGCTTTCTTTCCCTTCCCTTCTTTACTAACTAAACACATTTTTACTTCAGTTGCAAGAGTGCTTATCCCACCAAGCCTCACTCAACAAGAACACCAGAACTGGCAATTTAATAAGATGCCCCTTTCCATTTGTCAAAGCACTGGTTGCCCACCGAGTCAGGTCAGGTAATGCTTCTAGTCACAGCCACTGCATAGCAAGTCCAGTAAATCTCTTCTGCAGCTAAACTCCCTCTTCCCCAATAACAAGTTCTGTGATGAGGAGTAAACTATGCACACAGAAGAGTTACAAATTAACTTCACTCCTATGATTTCAGTTAACAAAGAGCCCTTGTTTATCCACCAAGTTTTAATGGAGCCAAAAATCATGTTAGGCACAGATATAAAGGTTAAATATATATCGAGTCAAGAGCTGAGGATCATGATTTTCATAAATTATGGAGAGAATGTGACAGAACAGGTTATGGTAATAACAAACTAAGGCAGAAAGTTGTTTGCAATCTTCATCTTTGCTCCCCTTCATCTCAGTGCACCGCTCATTAATTAGACGCAGCTAATGGGAAAAGGACACCTAGCTGCCTGTGCTTTGCAACATACTGTTGAGCTCCACCGTCCCTACACAACACTACGTCTACCCTCTGCCCAATGGCCAGAGAAACTGGGAGAGTCATTAGATAAAGGTGTGATGGAAAGCTAAGCATCCCTGCGAGACAGAGTTCATGTGCGGGCCTAGCACACCAGGACAGTACGAGTATGTCTGTGGATGAAGGGAAGGTTTTTATTTTAGGTAGCATCACTTGTTTCTTATGCACAGGAGTTGCATGCTGTGTGGCAATAACTGCTTCACAAAGAATTTGTCCACAATTTCCTGGTTTCTGCAATAGAGGTGGGGGTGGGCAAGACAACAACCCACAACCCCCAGTGCATCACTAGCTGCCTATTCTGATAGCTGTGCCTCCACTGCAGAAGACCATCAGGTGGGGTGAGCCACTGGTGAAGACCACTGCCACAGGGAGACTGGCACTGTAAGGAGAGCAAGACTACTTGGATGATGCTGTGAAGCCAAAGATTGGACAAATGGCACCTGGTTTTCAAAAACAAGTTCAACTGAACTACTTGCTGCAGACTGTCGTAATTAAGGGGAAGAACCCAGATGCAAGCAACTCGGGCAGATGGTTGGACAAGCCAGAACCTAGTCTTTGCAGGTTGGGAATGGGATGGCTGGCAGGTGTCTGAGCCATGTTACTCCTTCTCCCTAAAAATGCCACACACTGCAGCAGAGATGGATGCACCTCTGCCAGCTGGCGTAAAAGGCCATTACAGAGTAATCCATCAGGGAAAGCTTGGCCTGCCAAGCAAAAAGTTCACCCATGGCCCAATTTCAAAAACGTGCCCTATTCGATTTAAGACAACCCAGGAAGTTGGGAGGCACAAATGTTTAAAAGATGAGTTCCCTCCTGGTATGGTAAGCATCTCCCAAAAGCAGGGACACCGCCCACTTGTAGGATATAACCATAATTGCAGTGCTGCTACCAGAGCACCTTGTTAAACAAGCAGGTGCTTGAATAATGTGATAATGAGAAGACATATAACCATGCCGATGCTGCTTCTGCAGGGCTCCCAACAGCATGGCCAAGAATCCTGCTCACCTGAAGCAGGGGCAAGCCTAGAAACAAAGAAATGAACCCTCTCCTCTCCCAGCCCATTGCCCCTCTTGCCATTTTTCCTTCGACCTTGGGGTGGTTTTGGCACATGTGAAACAGGTGCAGGGTACTTCTCAGCAGTGCTACTGGTAATGCCCAATGAATCTCAATACCAAACTCGCTGACAAGATCTGAACAAACAGCAAGTTTTTGAGGATACATCAATATAATGCACTTCATCAACTTAAGAACCATCTCAGATCTTGTGCCTGCCCCCACCTACCACCATTGTTTAGACATGACTTTTCCCCCCCCCCCCCCCCTTGGGGAACCCCCAAAAAAGGGAAAGCTGCCCACATGG